TAGTAGAGACGGGGTTTCACCATGTTGACCAGGATGGTCTCGATCTCTTGACCTCGTGATCCACCCGCCTCGGCCTCCCAAAGTGCTGGGATTACAGGCGTGAGCCACTGCGCCCGGCCAAAGTCAATGATTTTCAAGGGATCTCCTCATTGTGGGTTTTGTTTAGGAAAATGGCATAAAGGGAAGAAGTAGTTGTGTTCCTTAGTTCATCCTTTTTGAAAGTTTACTGGATGATCATCATGCATGAAACACTTTGGTAGGTTCTGTAGATACACAGAACCAACTCTTCCTTCAGGGAACTTATACAGGATACCAAGGGAGAGAGAGAATACTCAACTACCATTTACCACACTATGTGAAAAGTAATAAAGTACAGAGGGGCAACTATTCAGCCCTTGGGGAGCTTTGATCAATGCTCATAACAGCATGCCCTTGAAATAGGACCTCTGAGTGAGTGCAAAAAGCCAGGACACAGGTGTCGGGGTGAGGTCTGTTCAGAAGCTTGGAATGCTCTAGTATGGCTGGTTGGGACCAGAGCACCCTGTGGAGCAGAGCTGCCAGACAGCTCTAGAACACACGTCTTCAGACTTTTACACAGAGGGTAGAGATGGCCCACTCTCACATGTCTGTGAGGAAGTTCCAGAAGGGACTGTGGAAGTGGGCTGGGGCCAGATCATGAAGGACCTTGTGCAACATTAAGGAGGTGGAACTTTCACCTGAAAGTGATGGGGAAGCACTGATAGATTTTAGGCAACTGAGCAGATTGCGTTATAGAAAGACAATTCTAGTAGTTATTCACATGAAAGATAAAATTTTTGGGAGAAGTTGGTGAGATTAAAGAAGATAAACAAATTCAAAGGCTTCTATAATAATAAAGTAAATAAACAATGAGGGGCAAACACAGAAAGTTATTGTAATTAAGAGAGAGTGCACTAGAGTCAACTGCCTGGGTTCAAATCCTGGTTTTACCATTAATTGATATGTGACAGCTGGGAAAATTACTTATCTGTTCCTTAATTTCCTTACTTGTAAAATGGAGATATTAATAATAGTAGGGTTGTTTGAAGATTAAATGAGTGGAAATATGTAACATATTTGCATCAGTTGCTGGCACATGCAAATGCTCAATAGATGTTAGCTATAACTAAAGCAAAAACAAAGAGGATGCAGAAAAAAAGGAAAAAAAAATGGACATCAAACATGTGTGAGAGATGATTCCAGGCATATGCAAGAACTGTGGTTTAAGTGACCATGTGGGTAGACACTGACAGCATAACAGAGTTTAATGGAAAAGATGATGAGTTTAATTTTGGATGTATTGAGTTTGAGTTGCTTATTGTATATTCAAGTAGAGAAGCCCTTTATGAAATTGAATGTATGAATCTGGGATTTAGGAAAATAATATCTTGGACAGAGATGTAGGTTTGCAAAACTTGGGTAGTAGAAGACACAAATTTATATGGTCATGCAAGAAATTTCAAAGAGTGAGAAGAAAAAAAGTACTTGAGGACCAGATGCTGGCCAACACTAACATTGAGGGCAGCACAGGAGCAAAGGAGACTACAGAGAAGCCTAAGAAGGCATAGCCACAAAGAAGGATCAGCAGGAGGAAAGACAAGAACAAAAAGTGAGAAATACTGCCAAGATTGAATAAGTCTGTGGGTCTGTGGGTGACAGAGCTTGCTAGTTGTCTCCCCATCATCATAATCCGCGTCTAAAGAAATAAAAGTTTTGGCTGCCCCATATTGAAATGGCATTTCCCAGCCTCCCATGTAATTGGTGTGGCCATGTAATTAAAGCCCACAATGGGATATAAATGAAAGTGTCCCGTGACAGTATCCAGGAACTTTCCTGAAGAGGCAGGTGGCTGAGACTTTACACCATCTTCATCCTTGCCTCTGTTTGCTACCTAGGATTTGGATACTATTAATACCTTTACCTTGTCCAAGAAGATCACAGCCACCTCTTGGTAAGTGGAGCTGTGAGCTGGAAGGAGCTTGCATCCCAGAGCACCCTGTGGAGCAGAGCTGCCATACAGCTCTAGAACACATGCCTTCAGACTTTTACACAGAGAGAAATCAACATCTGTCTTATTATGCTAGTAATGTTTTGTTTTTGTTTTCTGTTTCTCCCAGCTGAACTTAATTCTAATCAACACACTGTGTTTTGTCTTGTTTTCTCTTTGACAGGAAAATATTTTGGGAGAAATACTGATGAGTTAAAGGCCCCCTTTATCCTACCCATTACATTTCATTTAAAATTTCTATGAAAATATGACATGAACTGTTAGTTATGGAGGAGTTAAAGTTGGATGTTGCTTGTATTAACAACAATAACAAAAAACTATGCAGTAAGTTCAACTCTAAAAACCAACCAAGATGATGTTTTGAAAAATAATTTTATTTGAAATCTCATGTATAAATTATGGCCTGAGATATATCTCAAAAGAAAATTATCTGTGGTTCTAAATAAAATTTGTCAAGGCAGAGTATTTAGAATGCAGAGAAGGGGGTGGTATGGACAGAGGGTAGAGATGACCCACTCTTTGGAAAGAAGGTCTGAGGGGAGAGATCCAAGATGGCTGATCACTAGCAGCTCGGGATTGCAGCTCCCACTGAAAGAGCAGAGAACGAGAGGACGCCACACTTTCAGATCAATTTTTGTTGCTCACACACCAGGAGATTCCCAGCGGAGGAGCCCCACGTGTCGCCAGCGTGACTCTTGAGGCCGGTGAGGCAGTTTTGCCGCTGCCTTGGTGTGGC